AGATAGATAGATAGATAGATAGATAGATAGATAGATAGATAGATAGAGAAAATAGATTTTTTGTTTGTTTGAAGTTTTTATTTGGCCCTTCAACAAAATATGAAATAACCTAGAAACAGTTATTGAATATTGATGATTTATTACAGTGTTAAGTCATAATTATCGTCTGTAGTCCTGTGCCTGTTGCTATCAGGTAAGTTTGACTTGTGCAACAGGGTTTTGAGCAAAAGACAGATAGATAGATAGATAGATAGATAGATAGATAGATAGATAGATAGATAGATAGATAGATAGATAGATAGATAGATAGATAGATAATTGGATAGATAGATAGATAGATTGATGACAGATAGATAGTCCTGTAAAAGACTGAAAAGGAGCCTAGCTAAATTGCTGTGCTACACATTTACATGCTAAGCTAGCTAAGAACTAAGAACTTAGGTTTCCCTGCCATTCGGAGAGCCCCTGCTTTAACCCCCTCCCTCTGACAGGTGGAGCTTCTCTGGTGGATGTGGTGGCGTTTTCAACCCAGAACATCAACATGGACGTGGACGTTTTCCGGAGTTTGGATACGAATGTCATCAAAGTAAGTCAAAGATGCCCCGGCTGTGCTGGGTCAGAGTCCAGATTTAGCTTCCGTTCTGCTCAGGTTCCTGTTTTAACGTGAGACCGTCTACAGGATCTGACGGTGGCTAACGTGGGGGGCCTGATGGGCAGCCATTTGCCCGACCTCAAGCTGTTTGAGAACGACACCGTGGTCCAGAGTTGGGTCAAATCGCAGCTGCAGGCGGACCTGGACACGCTGGGCATCGGCCTGGTCGGCGGCAGGATCGCCTCCACCACCGAGGCACCCGCCAATGCTACGACCAATGGGACGAGCTCTATGACCCCATCACCAACCAATGGGACCAGCTCTATGACCCCATCACCAACCAATGGGACCAGCTCTATGACCCCATCCCCAACCAATGGGACCAGCTCTATGACCCCATCACCAACCAATGGTACTAGCTCTATGACCCCATCCCCAACCAATGGTACTAGCTCTATGACCCCATCCCCAACCAATGGGACCAGCTCTATGATACCATCACCAACCAATGGGACGAGCTCTATGACCCAATCGCCTACCAATGGGACCAGTTCTATGACCCCATCACCAACCAATGGGACCAGTTCTATGATACCATCGCCAACCAATGGGACCAGTTCTATGATACCATCGCCAACCAATGGGACCAGCCCCATGATACCATCCCCAACCAATGGGACCAGCCCCATGATACCATCGCCAACCAATGGGACCAACCCCATGATACCATCCCCAACCAATGGGACCAGCTCTACGACTGCTTCATCCAGTGGGTCAATGAGCACAACAACACAAGGTAAGAAAAAAGGAAAAAATAGGTTTTGTAACTCTGGACGAGTTGCTGAGAAATATGTCCTGTGGTCTGAATTTCCTGCCAGGA